ACTAAAACATTATACCACTTTATTAGATACTTTAGTCCTAATAATATATTGAACTTTAAATATTCAGAGCTCTGTCTTGTTGACAATGGGGCAGGGGGGGCATGTTAATGGAAAGAAACAATAAATGTCAAAATAAAGTAGAAGCACTTTGTTTGCCTATTAAAAAAAAAAACACCAAGCAAATAATGAAAGAGAGGGCGTTACTCTCAGAATAAAAGAGTACCTTGAAATTGGACACTGAAATCGTCTTCATGAAGTTGAGGCAGAAAGCAATGCCAAGTAGGTCCTGCAAGATCCAGATCCACCTACAATGTGATAAAAGCTCACTGTAAGAATGCATTTCAAACAAGATTATATATGTATTCTGTAACCCGAAGACGCATCAAGTTTAAAGAAGGGGGAAAAAGTGCTGCTGCCAGTATTTCAGTGTGTTCATTTAAACTTTGAGGAAGAGAAAAGATGTTTTCATTGACATCCCTGCAACTATGTTTACGCAGTAACATGGAATACTGGAAACAGCAAACTGGGTTTTGCAAAGTCAGAAACGCTTTTAGAAATAATGTGGGTGTTTTCAAACTAATTTTAACCAAAAGCACTTCCTGCTTCACCACCAAAACAGTCCCTCTCGACAGTGGCGCAGCCACATCTAAAAATAAAGACTAACACAGACGGAGGAATTGTGAGTGTGTGGTCTGTGTTGCGTGACTCTACCTGTCCTCATTTCTGTACACTCCCCAGATCACGGTGATAGTGATGCACACAGCAGCCAGCAGGATAGACCTCACAGAGAAATTCCAGTTTCGGACCGAGAAGCTAGAAAAAGGCCCACAGAGAAAGTCCGGCAAACAACAACGATTGAAGGGTTGAGGCTTGTCTGACAAAGTGTGATTCAGAGGCAGACATGTTCAAGAATGTCGTGACATGTACAGCTCTGTTTCACATCTGTCTTTGACTACGACGTCTACCTTGTTTAGATCAGAAAATAGTTACCGAATTACCAGGAAAACACACAAAACATTGACACACATTGACTTGTGCTGAGCTGTTTATCAGGCAGTACTGACACACAGTAGTTCAGGCTAAACATTTTTATTTCTGTGGAGCTGATTTATTTATTTTTTATCCATTTCATGTTTCCCCAAAAGGAGTGTAATATATTTGCATATTTGTGTTGCAGCTATAACGTTCTTAAAAGAGTGATGCTCATACCTTAGAGTGCCACAACCAATTTTTTCAAACACTGCATCAAAACAGCTGAACAGTGCAGATGCAGATGCCAGGCAGAATATGGCGATAATGATGTAAACTGAAGAAAAATGCAAAAAAGGAGCACATCAAAAAAACACCAGATAACATTATACAGTTAAATACATTAGAGTTGACTGTTTGGTCCCACTCACCAAGGATGTAGTAGAAGAAGTACATTAGGACCAGCATCCCACACATCATAGCGACAAAGATAACCACTTTGAGAGGAGAGTACAGGAAAAGCTGTCCACTGTCTCCTTTGCCTTCTCCCCCTTCTGTCGCTGGTACACCATTATTCAAGCGGTCCCTGCCACAAACAGAAAAAACATTTTCATTGTGTTTGTGTGCTTTTCATGCCCATTGTATGTAAAAATGTTTGTTGATGAAAAAGTGTTGACTACGCTGACACACACTCTGTGGATGGTACTGAACTGACAACAGCTGTAGCGGACACTGCTTGACTTTCTCTGGAATGCCAAGCAAGGAGACATACCAGGTAAGAAGCACTGTTTTATTTAAATTCTGGATCTACTCCCATCATAAAACTGCCACCTTTGGGCACTATGCAGAACGAGGAAACCCAGGAAGAACCACCATTAATGTCACAAAAGAGAATTACAGCAGGAGCCTGTTGTGGTCAACTTCACTGTTTTCTACTCCACTGGAAAAATGATGCGACACGCATTTTATTACAGCATGGACGCTCATACCTCCTACAGAGGCATGAAGCAACAAATGAGACACTAACACTATGGAAACAACAACTTCGAAGTCACACTGACTCTCATTAAGGTGTGAACAGCCGTGTTTCTTCTTTCTATGGAAACTCTCCCCCACGCTTACCAACGAGGATTCCAGCATGCAGGAGGAAAGCAGATAAGGAGGGTCTCAATAAGAAGTCCTTGTATCACCTATCAAAGAATCACATCTGTAGGTGGTATGAGGACCAAGATAACTTTTTACAGAAGTATTCATGCTTCTGTCACGGACCCACAGTGCCATCTAGCAACAGTAAATGGTCCGGTGTGGTCGGGACTACATCACCGTTAAACTCATGTTACCACTGATTAAATGTATCAATGTTAAATGTTAAACAGTTTATATAAAATTCTTACTTTTGTTGCATAGACTAGGCTATTTCTTATGAGGTGTGTGTGTGTGTATATATATATGTCACTGTTATTTAATTTCATGTTCATGGGTCACGGTGAGAGACAGATTCAGCGTGTTGGCGTATATAGTACATTTTCTTAATTTAAGTTAAGAAATGCAGCCTTGTCTCCTCTTCAGAACAAAGGGAGGAGGATTGAGTTACCAAAAGTCGCGGCAGAATCCTCTCCACGTCTCCATACATGTCCACCTGGACCAAGAGGATAAGAGTAGGAAACGACCTTTGATCTCTCTCTGGTTTTTCTTTTTTTTTGCTTTTACCTTTTTTGTCTTCTCCGTCTCTGTCCCTCTCGTTTCCTTTGTTCAGTTCCTTTGTCCGCGTTTTTCTTTTTCTTTTTTTTCATATATATCTCCATTTTTGTAGCTCTTAGTTTTAGTTTTGACTTTGTTTTATTAAGATAGTGCTCACTTTCATTTGCAGTTGTAATTTACGCGCTCGATTCTGTCCAACCAAACCGACAAGAATCAGCAGAAATTAGATTTTTTGTAACGGATCGAATACATCCCGCTTTCGCTCTCAGTTTTCCAAAACTTTTTCTGTTTTCGACCAATACCAAACTTGGCTGAAAGCACAACGAGAGCCACCGTTAATAGTAAAATCATTTTTCTTTTTCAACCCCTGACGAGTGCGACCACCGCACAGGATGCTGATGGTCACCGACAGATTCATCACTGTGTGTCGACGTGGGAAGCCGCTGACGGCCTCCAGAGAGCTCACCGGCAGAACTCATTGCCAGGCAACTTCACGACGCTTCAGGAGGAAACAGCTTGGAGACATCGTAAAAGGGTGCTGGTTCACAAACAGCCGTTCCAGCCAAAGGGAGACTCTGTCCATCAGCGGTGCACAAAAGTAGTAAGCCAGACTTTCTATCTGCTCCTGATCGGGTTGATGTTGTAACTATTTAATGACTCACAAGCGTCTCGATCACAAACCAAATTATTAGTCACTACCGTAAGATCGTTTACTAACCATCCTGCTCTCACCACAATCCTCATTATTTGACTGGGTAAGCTGACAACACATCCACTACGCACACTTTCATTGTTTATAGCTCACGTGTATTATAATAGTAGAATAGTTAATAAACTTTTCTTATTTAGACCAGTTTACGGTTTTATGTCTTTCTTTGTGTGGAACTGAGGTCAGTTTAATTTGAGTTTACGCTTTCAGCTATCAGACTGACAAACGTGATATCAAATAAAGTCTCTTTGAGATTTCATTTAAAATAATTCTTCAGCAAACTGAGGCGGTGCCCTTAAATCAACAAGTGCAACAGAACCACGGAGCATAGTTCTAACATACGCTACACAGCACTAAAATAAATGCGACTTCTGGGAAAATATGCATATGTGTGTGTTAATGGCAACCATGTTTAACAATTCAGAAAGTCACATAGATATCATCAAGTTAATGATATCATCAATACAGTTAAAAAAGGTACAGATGTGAGCTTTTAGCTTATAGCTTTGGATGTACAACTGCAAAATCTCACCTCTCACACGCTCCGCTCCAGTAGCCGCCCAACGTGACTGTGACAATAGCAATCAGCAGGATGACCACAATGCTTGGATCAATCTTTGAGTAAGGTGGAGCGTATAGCTTCACCTGCATCCCTTCACCAAACACCTGAGGACATACAAGAGTTAACAAAGTCTTTAAAATGCACAACTTTGCATCCAGTTTGACTTTCCTCACCAATTTGACCTTTACAAAAAGAGCCTAAACAAGACGATATACAATAATGTCAGAATTACAGGTAAAAACTTGCTGACCTGCCGTGCTTCCAGGAAGTCCCTGTACCTCATGAGAGCCAGGGAAATATTGACCTTGGCGTACTCTGAGTCATTGGCTGATGGAGTGATCTGATGGGTCAAGCAGAACCGGGGACATTTTACAAATACTCTTCTGTTGACTGGAAATGTTCTCATCGAATCATTTTAGAATTGATTTGTTTCCAAACAAATATAAAAATGTCAAGACGACCTGATTGCGATGACAGGAAATGAGAAAATCCATTTCAAGCACTAAATATGGATATTTAGTTGGAAATCCTCACACGTACTTGTATCACTTCCTTATTTCTAAATCACTTCTGCATTCTGAGTGTCTTACATGTTACACAGTAACCTGACACTAACAATATAATCATACAATGGCAATAAAGAGGAAGTAAAGATCAAACATGTAAAAATATTAACTCTTAAGCTTGACGTATCAACAAAATAGAGATGGCTATAAATGTCTTACCAATGACTTGTTGCTGGCAATGAGCAAAGTTTTAGCTCCAAGGCTCTGAGCAACTAGAGCTTTCTGGCTGAAGTCACAGTCCCCTCTCATCACCACCAACGCTTTACCCTTTACCAAATCTGGACTGATCCCTGAGGCGTTACACAGCAGAGTGGAGGTCAAATTCACCAAGGGATACTGTGCCTGGAAACATGAAGATACTGATTTAACAATTAAGACAGAAGAAGATTTCTTACCATAACGATCATTTAAAAAAAATAAAATAAAAAAAAAAAGAAATAAAAAAAAAAAGTCTCATTGAACTTGTCTGGAAGCCACATTATTACCTGTTTTTGCTCCCAAAATAGACAGAAAATACAAAAAATTACCATCCAGTATAAGCTAGGATTATTGTTTTTGGTCCTAATAAAAGAACAACAACACAATAGTGACTCAGAAGAGCTCAATACTTACGGCATCATCAAGAGTTTCTGAAAGGGGTGTCCAGGAGTGATTGTGAACAATGCAGTACTCCCTATACGAATCTCCATTTGAAATGTGCAGGATAGCCTCTTGGCAGTTTATCTGTTGGGAAAGAAACAGTATTCTTTAATGTTTCACTCCAAAGAAAATACCTTAACCAAGTCCAGCACTGTCATCTAAAACAAACAAACAAACAAATCACACCAACATACTGGATGAAGGAGTGAACAGAATGCAGACATACAGCATACCAGAAGGCTTGTATTTGTTGCTTTGTGAGCCAAAAACCTTTTATTTAGCCCATAAAGGTTGGAAGCTGAACTCCTGACCACGTATGTTTCTACAGGCAATACTACAGCTTTGGAACCAATTATCAGACCACCTTCACAACACCTCCACCTTTGTGGTCCTTGGTGGAACAACACTACATTTTCTCCTTACGGCTGTAACAGACAGTTGTTGGCGAGCAAATGTCTCTCTCACTGTAAGCCTTTTTGTAAAACACCAAGAACACTGTCTTCTTGTCATCTCCCGATTCACTTCTTTTAGGCATTGCAATGACAATTTTGTTTGGATTTTCAGTTGGCTTTACATATACAGCCTCTGCACAAAATAATTGTGACTCAAAAAAAGTCTAGCATTATTATTTTAGATCTTTTGGAGGGTGTGTTTAACTATTTAACCATCATGATGACATTCAAACAAAACTATCAGGGTCTAATAATGGTTTCCAAAGCTGTATTGTAAAGGACACCCTATTGAAGATTACACTGAACATTCTCTATATCTAACTACAGTCATTTCAGCTCTTCATATCATGTAACAAAGAGCACAACAGCTCGAAGCCATCTTGAAACTTTCACTTTTGAAAGTGGAAATTACCGAACAAGCCGTCAAAGCAGCAGCGAGTACACAACTGCATAGAACTAAACAACAATACAACAACCGTCCTCACTCTTTAGTTCAAGTATGAGGACAGTTGGCTAAATTCAATTTCACCAGTCCACGAGGGGGGTGTAACTTCATTACAGTTTGAGGTACTTTGCCCTACATTTAAGTTTTGCGGTCATTCAACAGTCAGCTAGCGTTAGCTCACTGGCTCGGTTCAATTTGTCTCGTTGTGAACCGGACAACACGGTGCTTTTGACATACACACTAGAACCGTGTATCGACCACACGCCGACGGTAATATTTCAGACAATTAACAGTCGCATGTAGTCTGTTTTTTCCGACGGTAAATAAAGCTATCAGGGCCCCGTCAGTTGCTACTCACTAACGACCATCAACTTACCTGCGACGCAAAGAAAATGACGGACAAAAGACAGAGTTTGACAGCTCCCTCCATTCTGGCAGCCTTCGTTTTGTCGCGCAGTCTTGGAGAATGAACATTAACCTACTTCTTGTATGGCACGGAGACACTTTCTGCTCGCTAAGTGACTTGGATATTCATGGCTGGTGGTCGGCTCTTCGGCAGCTGCCAGTTACTTCCTGTATTGGCTTGTGGTCACGTGACGCGCCCATCCAGTGGTTTCTGTTGTCGTCACAACACTCGCGCACACGCGCGCATAAAAATACATAATAAAAAAAGAAATAAAGATGCCACTGGAAATGTGCCATTCTAAATTTGTATTCAAGTTTTTACACTTAAAGTAAAAGTAATAATTTTGGTACAAACAAGCAAACAAGCATGATGGGCCCCGTGAACTAATATTTAGTTGAGCAACTCTTTGAGCCAATCACTGCCATCAAGTGTTTTCTGTAACTCTCAGTCAGACTTCTGCACCTGTTGACAGGTACTTTGATTTTGGCCCATTGCTCATCAGCAAAGTGCTCTAATTTGTCTGGGACAGTTTTGTTTGTTTTTAAAAATTATTCTTTTCAAACACAACTCAACGTCTTTTTTCACTAAATTATAATTCAGCTTTTTTTTTTTTTTTTTTTTTAAATTTTAACTTTTTGAGTTTCTAGTTATTTGAGTAACTGTTGTGAATTTTCTTTAATGGAAGGGTCTGAATACATTTGAGGACGACTGCATGATCCAATCAAAGATTTTGCCAAATCAACATGTGTTGCATTAATTTCTGCCTCAGCAGGTCAGGAGATGTGAAGCTGAACTTGAACATGACACAAAGAAGCTCAGGCTGTGAGATTCATAAATTACCATCAGACTACTTTAAACTATCCTGCTGACCTCTGGAGGCTGAAATCACTGCAACATGTCATCACACGTTTAATTTACCTGAGTTCTGACATTATTTGTGTAAAAATGCACCTGGGGAAACATAGGAACTGTTTAGCAGGAGTTTAGATGAATTAAATCTGTTTAGATTAGAAAACATTTGGATCATTTCAGTCATTCTAGTGACAGACGACCTGCAGGAAAAGCAGCTGGAATAGAACATTGTCTCCAGACCCTCCTATAGTCTTTTCACTCTCTTATGAAGATGTTAAAAACTGGATTTTCTTTCTTTATGTTTTTAGAAAAGTATCTTATGTGCCAAAGTACATTCATGTCTACAAAGTATGGAGTGAAAGAATTTAAAATCCGTTTACATATTGAGACAAAATTACATACATTTTTTCTATTAACCAAGGATTGAAAAAGTGAAATGCTTATTTAGAATTTAAAAGGAAACTTATCTACAAACTATGAAATAATGAAAAAGTTAAACGTTAACTACATTCTAAAATTTTTGTTGTTGTTGTTGTTTTTGAATGAATGAAAGAAATCAAAAAGATGGAAGAACCTAAACAGAAATAAAACTTATCAATAGACTATGAAGAAATGTGTGTGTGTGTGTGTGTGTGTGTGTGTGTGTGTGTGTGTGTGTGTGTGTGTGTGATACTGTTGCACTTGGTCTGTTCAAGGCTCACATCTCCGGGTTGAATGGAGAGTCGGTCAGCCAGGACATCAGCATCTCTGCCACAGTGTTGAAGGCGAGGACGACAGACCGGGGTGGTCAGACCAGTGGTGTGAGGACATGCTGTCACCTGGAGGAGGATCCTCTGCATCTCATCCATCCATCCATCATCTATACACCGCTTAATCCTCAGTAGGGTTGCGGGGGGCTGGAGCTTATCCCAGCTGACTTAGGGCGAAGGCAGGGGACACCCTGGACAGGTCACCAGTCTATCACAGGGCTACACTTAGAGACAGACAACCAAG